ATCCCTCTGTTAATGGTAGACTTCTAAAACATGTAGACAGTGAGGGCCACCTCTATTCCTCTGTTAAAGCTTTTTTTTATGTATCTTGGATTGCTTAGAAAGTCCATATCCAACTCGGCATGTGCTTTTGCATATCTGAACACTTTTAGTGCCAGCTACCCCAAATGACACCCAGCAAATATGGTGATTAAAACAGTGTGATATTACTACATGTATGTTGCCATTCATAAAATTATAGAGTCTGAGCTGAATTTCTACTCAGAAGTTATGTTTTGCAGTAATTAGGCAATTTCATGTTGATTTTTATAAAACGTTGAGTACCGGTAACCTTTCAGTACTGTAAAGTCTGTATTAGAAATCTTGGCCTCTATTAGTACACATATGAAAAATGATGAATTTGTAGGTCTCAATTATTCAAGAAAAATAGGTGCGACTTCTAATACAGATTTTATGGTAGTTTTGGCATTTGTTAACTTCATGTGATGTTCATGACAATCTTGTTTCTACTTGCTGTTGGGAAACATTACCGTTGTTGGGATGCCAAAGTATGTTTAAGTTGGCATTTTGGCAAACTAGGTTTTGACATATGCCAACCGAATCCTTTTCTGATACATTGTATGAACACAGCATTGTTAATCCCAACACAAATTTCTAATAATAACTTTAATATCTAATACATGTACAAGTCAAGTTCACCACTATGAACACAGCTCATGTGAATGCCAGTGTCACCTTGGGTCTCTTGGACACTTGTCAGTAGTGTAAAATGCCTATCAGAAATTTCACTAAACAAAAATGAAATAGCGTGAATGTGTCAAAGCTAAATATCACATTTTGTTTGTTTTTTTCAGTTGCTACACGGATAGTGTTGAAATATGGTGAAACCATGGCAACACAATGTAAACTTGTAGATATAAATGTTGATGAGTACACAGCGGAGGACGTTGCTTGGTATAAGAATGGACATCTATTATCTGAAGATATGTATTCAGCTGTCAATACAACCACATCACTGTTATCTCTATCAAATGTAACTTTTGATGCAGAAGGCAACTATTCATGTCAACTCAATCATCTTGATCAAGTGGTTGCTATAGCGACAACAGACATTGTAGTTGGAAGTGAGTATTATCAAAGAAACTCACAGCATTGGAGTTCATGCCCGTCACTTTATTTAATAACAATAAAAATAATAATAATAACAACAATCTTATGTCAACTTCATCTTAAACACAAAAGTAATTGAGAAATACTTAACTAACTAATAACTGAAAAAAAACAGGTCAGACTTTTTTGTCAGTATAGTTGACTGAAGCACTGTTGTCTGTTTGTCAAACATTTGTAAAAGCATAACAGGAATGGTAATTAATTTGTAAAGTGGCCACACTTTTATTCATATACTAGAGTGTAATTGCTACAGATAACTTTGTAAACCAAATTTCTTCAACCTCTTACTGTGTCAGTTAATTAGGTGAAGCTGTATTAGGGAAAATGTCTATGTTATTTATTTGTTTTTCATCAAAATTATGTGCACTGATTTAAATAAGAATGAACATCAAAAAAAAAGTACAACCACCCTTTAATCATCTTTTCCAGTGATGCCCAAATGATGTAGATGAGTGAGCTTATGCCGATCAAATGGTTTTGCTTTTGGCCGTATTTGCGTTGAATTATTCAGAGTACTGACACACCATACTTTTAATTATGAATGCAGTGACTGATGTATGAGACAACACTACAATCTCAGTTTCTGTGCTGACAAATGTTTTTCTATGTTTTCAGGGTCACCCAGTATCGCTAATTTTTCCTGTGTGTGTTACAACATGGGTGAAATGTGGTGCACCTGGGACCCAGTGGATAACAATCTACCAACTCAGTATGTGTTCACATGGAGACTGCAGTGAGTATACTTCATGTATATTACGTGTGTCATAAACTTTGATAATACGGTAGATCTGCTACATCTGTACTATAAGTCATAGTGCCACTTTTATGTGTTAATGAACTGTTGTCTCCATCAAACACTTATTCACAGCTTGAACAAATAGCATTTATCATCTAGTCAAGATGTACTCGTTCTTCAACCAATCAAAACATGTCACTTAAATTGTCAGCCAATCAAAACATGTCTTTCATCAGCAACTCATGACAAGCAACTCATGCAACCAAAGCATACCACTATTAAATCTGCCAATCAATGTCCATGAGATTAAAATTGCAACATTAGCCAATCAAAGTATGCCTACTGCTTCACATGATATTTATCATCCAATCAGAGTATGCCTACTGCTTTACATGATATTCATCATCCAATCAAAGTATGCCTACTGCTTTACATGATATTCATCACCCAATCAATGTATGCCTACTGCTTTACATTGATATTCATCATCCAATCAAAGTATGCCTACTGCTTTACATGATATTCATCATCCAATCAAAGTATGCCTACTGCTTTACATGATATTCATCATCAAATCAAAGGATGCCTACTGCTTTGCATGATATTCATCATCAAATCAAAGGATGCCTACTGCTTTGCATGATATTCATCACCCAATCAATGTATGCCTACTGCTTTGCATGATATTCATCACCCAATCAATGTATGCCTACTGCTTTACATGATATTCATCATCCAATCAAAGTATGCCTACTGCTTTACATGATATTCATCATCCAATCAATGTATGCCTACTGCTTTACATAATCATCATCCAATCAATGTATGCCTACTGCTTTACATAATCATCCAATCAATGTATGCCTACTGCTTTACATGATA